TTTTAAATATACATATTATTTTATAATTATAACCGTTATTCTCATAGTTATACCATATAGTCTTCACCTCTACTCACTCTATATAGACTAAAATCTGTAGTCAAGTACAATCCATTAGTAATATTTTATTTACTTATATACATATACATACATACACACATACATACATACATACATACATACATGCATACATACACGTGTGTGTGTGTGTGTGTGTGTGTAGTAGCTCGATACCTGTGTTTCACTACACAAATATGTGATCGGGCTTAGTTTTGGGGGAGGAAAATAAGGAAAAAAAATTCTGCCTCGGCCTACCAACATCCATCTGTATTCATCTGGCTAGCGTCCTGTCAGTGTATGAGAGAGTTGAAGGCTGTTTGGAAACTGAAACAGTATTTGCTGTATGAGCAAGAAGGAGACAGCAAGGGGCCTAGGCGTGGCTTAGCTCAACTGTTCTGTGCTAAAGCTGCTTGGTGCCTCTGAAACTGAATCTCCTCTGCTTGTGTTTTGCATTTGGAACAGATTTATTTTCAGGTGGGAGGGGGAATAGAACTCCTTAGCATCAGAGCGTGTTAATAATAATATAGGAAATACTAATGCTCTGATGGTCAGAAAAATCCTTTCTTAGTGAGTGCCTAGAAGCCAAAAGGAACATACGTGCCAAATTTCAAGTTTGTAGGTTTTACGGTTCTGGAGATTTTGAGATGATGCGTGAGTGGCATTTCACTTTTATAGAGAGAGATATGTATTTACTTCTATTTTGTTAATCTTTTTCCATTATAGACTTACTCATTTCTGCATCTGTTTTCTCACCATTTGTACATGTTAAATAATACTCTGTTTCCTCTTTATCCTTAATTTCCATCCTTTTGTTCTTCCCAAGAAACCACGGAGACCAAGGACCATTCATTTCAACCCTAGTTACAGATATTCTCCTTAGGCAATTCAATGGAATTTGCCCTGTTCTCTGTGTCATTTGTTTCACAAACAGAGCAGGAGATTCGTAGCACCGTGCCGCTTTAAACCTCAGCCATGTTCGCTGCATCTGATGAAACATCGGAAGATCTCCCGGTGAGAGATGTAGGTCTAAACCTCGGAGGACATTCAGGTATGTCACCCTGGTTAGAAATCAGATTAACTCCTGAATGTCTTCGTATGGTAGAAATGTTCTTCTGCTAAATTGTCTCAGAGGGTATGTGCAGTATCGTTTATTTTGTTTGGTGTGAGCTTTAGCTTCCTTCCAGTTTGACTACAATCTTAGTCAGGGGTGGGCTTCTTTCTTTCTTTCTTTCTTTCTTTCTTTCTTTCTTTCTTTCTTTCTTTCTTTCTTTCTTTCTTTCTTTCTTTCTTTCTTTCATTCTCCATGGGCATTCTCTCTAACTTCTATCCTGGGCTGGAATCTGAACTGGTGTCTCATAAAGTCCTAAGCGTTAGAAGGACCCCTTTCACCCCCCCTGAGCTCAACATTCTCAAAAGCCATTTGCAGAGGACTTCACAAGACTTTCCTGAACTCCAATCTGCCATCAGCAAAATTCACGGTAGGCTTAAAAAAACCCAAAAGATCCTTCATTCCTCCTCCTCCTCCTTTTGCAGAACCCTCGGCTGCCCAGAGTGTTAAGTCTCGGCAAATCGTTTCACGGATCCAGCGGGAGGAACTTGAAGATCGATACCTGCGCTTACACGAGGAGAACCTTTTGCTGAAACAGCATGCCCGTAAGCAGGAGGATAAGATTAAAAGGTCTGCCTTCCTTACTGCCTTCCTAAAACGGTTGCTTGTAAAAGGAAACCCGGGTGGTCCTCGGCTTATGACCACAATGGAGCCCCAGACTCATGTTGCTAAGTGAGGCATTTGTTAAGTGAGTTTGGTCCCATTGTGCGACTTCCCTTTCCGTTGTTTTTAAGAGAATCCCCTGCACTTGTTAAGTGAATCACATGGTTGTTAAGCGAATCTGGCTTCCCCATCAACTTGGCTTGCCAGGAGGTCTCAACGGGACCACGTGGTGATCCTGGGACACATACAATAAACACAAACCGGTTGCCAAGCTTACAAATTTTTATCACGGGATGCTACCACGGTCATAAGTGTGAAAAATGATCCTAGTGTTCTGACCCATGATTCCTCAGTCGTAATTAATCACAACCTTGTTTTAAAAGCAAAACCTATTTTATCGCAGTGCTGGGAATTACTTTAATTCCCAGCCAGAACTAATCTCAAACAGTTCCCCAAGATAAGCACACACCTTTCAGTTCTGTTGGAATGCTGCCAAAAACAGAAGTATCCAAATAATTGTAACAGAAACCAATTGAAGTACCAGAAAAAAACAACCAGAGTACACAGAACTTCAAGGAGGACTTGGAATCTATTGAACTACTTTGCTTCCTGCAAAGATTTCATCATTGAGGTCTGACTTTTATTCCTTATGGGAGGGGCAATCACCTCCCAGCCTTAATCCTGAGTCGCCCCTTTTGTTTTAGCTGCTCTCGCCCTCTGGCAGCTCTGCGCACATGCGCACTGGGAACAGGCTCCCCTGGGTCCTCTTCCTCGCTGCTTCCAGACTCTGAAGGCTCCAAAGACAGCACCCCACTCCCAGATGGTCCTGATCTCATCTCTGCATCAGATGCAGGGCCCTCATCCCAAGCCCTCTCCAGACGTCCTCAGTGTCCGATTCCGCTGCCGTCTGCACTGACTGCTGGCAAACCACAACACCTAGGTCACTTTTTTTCACTGCCGTTGTAACTTTGAACAGTCACTAAAAGGAACTGTTGTAAGTCGAGGACTACCTGTTACTTGAAGAGCGTATCCTATGGTGGGATAATCAATAGTAGTTAAGCTGGTTTCCTTTGTGTGTGTATGTGTGTTTTAAACTCTTTTCCTTTAAAAACAACAACTCTTAAATTGTTTTAAGGATCTCACTCAACTTCAGGAGAATCAAACCTTCTTCGTTCACAAGGGCAAATCCCTTCTGGGTTCCTCTCCGAGGGCTGAACGTCATTCCCTCGCGCATATGGTTTTTTTTTGTTCTTTTTTTCTTCCCGTTAAAGAAAAAAGTAGGAGTTTGCTAAAATAAAAATAAAAAATAACAGGAAGCCCTTAAATAGATGAAGTGTGCCTCTGTTTTCAGACTCCCATCTGGGTTTCCCACAAAAAGAAAAGGAAAAGAAATCAAATGTCTTCCTAGGAAGTTAAGAGACGTTGTTGTAAAGTTTTGAACTTCCCTCCTCCATCAAAGCCACCATTTCTTTCTTAGCCTGCCAAGTCCTTCTCCCCCTGACACAATCCTTCACTGCTGCGAGTAACTTCTGATTTTGGGGGCCGGGGGGGAGCATTACATCACCCTTGCACACTCCTTGGTCTTTTGTTCTCGCTTCCCTCTGTTTATCAAAACTCAGAGGAATCAACGGTACAACTTCTGGAGATGCCAAAAGCAAAAAAATATAACCTTTTAACATCAGATAAAAACCATTCCTCCTTCATTCAGTTATTATCAAACCATGAGCTGTTAAGCCTCTCTTGAAACAAATTCCTTTTGTGTTAAAAAACACACTTGACTTTACCAATAAATAATTCTGTTCTATTCTAAATTCTATTTTATATTCTATTCTGAATTCTATTCTATTCTCAATTCTATTATTCTATTCTAAATTCTATTCTGTTCTAAATTCTAATCTATTCTAAATTCTATTCTATTCTAAATTCTATTCCATTCTATTCTTGAATGTGCATTCTATTCTAAATTCTATTCTATTTTAAATTCTGTTCTATTCTAAATTCTATTCTATTCTTATCTGATAATTTCTGTTCTAATTCTATTCTATTCTAAATTCTATTCCATTCTATTCTTTAACGTGCATTCTATTCTAGTCCGTATTGTATTTTCTATTATGTTCTAAATTCAGTTTATTATCCTATTCTCTTCTAATCTGTATTCTAAATTCTATTCTAATCAATTCTATTAATTTCTATTTATTTGCTAAGGATAAGATGCAGCAAGGCACAGAAGATGATTAAAAGCTGGCCTGGTCCACCTACTCATTTTTATTTGATAGAAAACGCCGTGGGTTTTGTTCCCCTGTCTTTGCAGGGAAGCAAGACATCAGCGCAATGTGTTACATATTACAAGCATACATGGGGTAGTTTAATATCATATGGAA